TTTTTTTTTTTTTTTTTTTTTTTTTGAGACAGGGTTTGTCTGTGTAGCCTTGGCTGCCCTGGAAGTTGCTCTATAGACCAGGCTGGCCTCCAACTCAGAGATCTACCTGCCTCTGCCTCCCGAGTGTTGGGATTAAAGGCATGCACCACCACTGCCTGGCACTCTATAAGTTATTTTGCTTTTGTTTTTATTCAAAAGCTCACACCAAGGATCCATTTTCTGTGGAAAATTATGGACATATAATTTTGTCCAGCATTTGGGCTGGAGAGACGGCTCAGCAGTTACAGTCTCTCACTGCTTTTGGGAGTTCGGGTCCCAGCACCCTTGGCAGCTCACAGTGGCTGTAACTCCAGTTTCATGGGATCTAGCCCCTTTACCAACATCCTCAGGCATGTGACACACATACTTACACTCAGGTCTCTCTCTCTCTCTCTCTCTCTCTCTCTCTCTCTCTCTCTCTCTCACACACACACACACACACACACACACACACCATTAAATGAATAAGATTTTAAAAGGAATAGGCCTTTGAATCATACATACATGGCAGTCCACACCTATGGTCCCAGCATGTGGGAGGCAGAGGTGGAGATTCAGTCCATGGGGGAGCCTCAGCTAATAGTTAATTCAGGGCCAGCCTGGTCTACCTGAGAACCTGTCTCAATCCCTCACCTCTCCCCTCTCCTCCAAAAAGAAGGAATATGAAAAAAAAAAGAATAAGCATTTGAAACAAAATTAATTGCCTTTTAACTGCCTCTAAACAAGTTTGTGAGCCCTCATCACATACTTTAGGGCATCATGAAACTTGATGATTTTCAGGGGTTAATGAAACATAGATTATTCTGTGCTAATAAATTGCTAATAAAGTGCTAATAAATTGCATGCTATGATTCAGAATCTACCTGGCGGTGTTCTGGCGTTCCTCTGAAGTGTTCATTAGTTGACAATGAGCAAGTCTTCTTGTCTTGGTGGAGGGCAGGGACAAGCATATGGATTTAGAGGAACCCAGTCAGTTAGTGATCTCAGTGTAGACTTACCCCTGCGCTACAATTCAAAGCTGGTAGATGAGTGAGCCTTTTGGCTAGTCTCGGTTAGCTCCACGGGCATCAGCTGGGACTCCGTTCACACAAATGAACCTCAAGGGAGATAATACCAGCTGACTCTGGAATGGCCATCTTTACTTGGGGTTATAAAGCAGTAGATAACAGAACTGCCTGCCCTATGGTTGAAGGACTCTCACCCCGTGGACCTTATTCTGGTATCAGCATCCTGTGAATTTTTGTTATTGACACCCCTGGTGACTGTGAGCTGGGAAATGGGATTTAAATGGGTCTAGTGTGTACTGGCGATGTCAGAAGTCTCTGCGGTAGCCTGGAACTCTCTGAGGAGAGCACTGAGATGGCTGCTTGGGCCTTGTTAGGGCTCCAAATACTGGTATAACAAAGCCTTGGTCCCCAAGGAGCGCATTAGAGTCAGGCCGTGTTTTGAAGTTGACCTGCTGAATGTCAAGATGCCATAGGTACCTATCTCCTGCAGGCCTCGTTTCTATAACAGCAATAGTGGGTAGATGTTATGTGGCCTTTGCAGGTGAGTCTTTTAACCTCCACGAATCCAGGAACTTTTGCCCTGTGTTTCATGGGGACAGCCTATGGGCAAATGCATACAGCCATTTAAATTTCCAAGGATAAGGTTGGGCTTCATTGGCAGGATAGTTTTTGAAAATTATACAGATCTTAGTAGCAAAAAACTAGTTTCTCATTTAGCAATGTAATGATTATGACGCCTTTCATCTCAGCACTTGGGAGGCAGGCAGATCCCTGAGTAGGCCAGTCTGGTCTACAGAGGAAGTTTCAGGACAGCCAGGGATATGGAGGTTTTATTTGATTTATTTATTTAGGGGTGGTGGTTGAGATTTTAGACAGGATCTTACTCCGTAGCCCAGACTGCTTGGATTCACTTTGCAGCCCAAGCTGGACCCAGTCAGGTGGCGGCGACCTTCCTGCCGTAGCTTATTGAGTCCTTGGGTTCCAAGTATGAGCCATGACACTCAGCTGAGATGACCTTGTGTTTTGAAGGCACAGATGTTTGTCAGCTTTTTCTTTTGCCCCAAGGAGACTATTTACTCATCTGTGTTTACCCAAAGGAGTGACATTACGGCATAGCTTAGGCTGGGGACTCTGGACCTGTTTTTCTCGAGCCTGTCTCAGGGCCGCTGCAGGGAAACAGATAGCTAGCAACTAACAGCGTTAACTGTCCTTGCCAGGTGCTTTTTTGTCCATCTTCATATCCACCCTGTTTTCCCACTCAGGAAACTAGAGCTGATAACGTTTTCCTGGAGTAGAACCAGGGCCAACATTTATGTCTGCCTGTCATGGATACTGATGCTGAACTGGGGTTCCACTGCTTTCCTGACTCAAATCACCCATGCCCCCCATTGTCTAGTAGGATGGGAAAATGTCGTCTAGTTGAACAGTGACTTCAGGATCCACCAGTGACTGACTGGTGGCATCCATGTTGAGATACAGGTGTCTGCGATGCCTTGTGAACTGTGGGAGGTCAGTTTTTATCACAAAAGCTTCAGGATGCTGTTTAAAGTGCAGTGGATGTCCCTAAGCATTTTAAGTTTTAGGGCTGTGTGTGTGTGTGTGTGTGTGTGCGTGTGTGTGTGTAGCCCAGGTGGATTTGAACTCCTGGTCCTCCTGCCTCAGCCCCTTGAGTCTGAGATGACAGTGTGGGCTACCATGCCCACCAGAATTTATTTCTTAATCTTTGGAAACAATGTTTGTAGTCAGGAGAGCACAGGCTTCCTTCAGGATTCTGGTCAGGGCTTGGCCATGCTGGCCCAGAGATAACACTGCTCATGCATGTCATTGTTGCCTCTTCAGGCCTGAGACTGGTGAGTTACATTTACGATTTCACAGTGCCCTCATAAATGGAAATAATATCTCATGGTATGCGTCAATTACATTATGAATTATGTATGTAATAAGAAAGTGCTTTTCTCTTAGGTGAGGTTCATGTTTTTCTGTTTCTGTGCAGACTAATAGCATGTGTTTTACCATGAAAACATCTTGTGTACGAAGAAGGTACAGAGAATTTGTGTGGCTGAGGCAAAGGCTCCAAAGTAATGCACTGCTGGTGTAAGTGACTTTGGGGTTAAATTACGGAGATCTGTCTGTGATAGTCTAGAACTGAAAGCGGACAGTGTTAAGATGCATGGGGTAAGGATAGGTCACAGCCTTGCTTCCTCTAGTCAGTTCTGTGCCTGCTGCATCTGAATTTAGAAACCACGAACGGTCCCAGAATGAACACATTTTCCTCTAAGTTAATATTATACAATAATTATGTGACACCCTGTGATAATTATTACCATGCACGACGTGCTTTCACTTGGAGGGATTTCTGTAGCCCGGTCACCTTGATTTGCTGATCGATTTCTTTTCTTTCTCGACAGACAATTACCAGAACTTCCATCTAAAAACCTATTTTTCAACATGAACAATCGTCAGCATGTTGACCAGCGCCGTCAGGGCTTGGAAGATTTCCTTAGAAAGTAAGTAAGGGTCTGCAGCCAGGCTGGGGATGGGGACAGAGAGAACCTGTGTGGGAGACGCAGCTGGACTGTGGCCCACACATGTTTATATCCTGTATTAGAGCGCCATCTGGTGGCCTATTTTGAGTGGTGCTGATGTGAACCGAGCCTTCTAGAAATAATGGACAACTAATCAGAGAACAAACAGTCTCTTAAGAGTGAAGTAGATACAGTGGCAGCTTTCACTTCTAATGGAAGCACCCATGAGGTTGATGCAGGAGGATTTCTGTGAATTTGAGGCCAACCCAGGTTTTGCAGTAAGTTCCGGGCCAGTCCTTGTCAAACAAATATTCCCCTGCCCTAAAACAACAATACCAACCACAAACCGAAAGCAAACAGCAGCAGAAGTGAAGCAGATACAAGTTCCTCGGGAGTCTGTCTGACAAAAGTAACATTCCCAGGGAATAAATGTGCCTTATTATTTCCTTAAGACTGGCTTTATTTGTAGCAGTTAGAATCAAGAGGCCTAGTCGTCTGTACCAGAGCCTTGGAGGCCCTTCTCCGTCTGAATGGCTTTGTTTTTCCTTGCATAAGATGGTTTGTCAGTTGTGTGTGTTGTCATACACACTTCGGAGGGAGCTGCCTGAGTTCTCGCCTGGAGGTGCTCCCTTGTCTCACTCATTCTCTGGATTGCCGGTACAGGAGGCTTGTCCCACACTGCTTGGCACACAGACTGAAGCTAGGCTCCTGGGGTCCAGATTCTGGATCTGCCACTTTGCTATCTGGGAGTTAGGCAAGCCTTTTCCTTTCTCTGTGTCTCTGTTGCCCCACCTGCAAAACGGGGACAATGAAAGTTCTTCTCTCGGAAGGACTGAGACAGTTAAGTAGGCTAGGGACTGCAGAGCACTGACAACAGTGCCTGGCAACCTAATTTCCAGGTGTTGACCATTATTATTATTATTTTAGTGCACTCAGGGATGAAATAGCTGTGAGCTTGTTTGTTTCCCAGTCTAGATAAGGAGGTAGGCAGAGTCAGGTGAGTACCCGTTAGAGGCAGGGGCCTCGAGTGTCCATTCTCCTCCAGTGGCTTTGGGATCCTTCTGAGTTGACTAAATAGGATCCTGAACTAGTCTGACACAATACGCTGCTGTCCCATGTGGCTCACTGATAAAGGGCCTGGGTATTCAGTATGCGCATGAATATTAATCCTTACCTCTATTAGATTGACACAGTGCCTTTGCTTCCTAGAAGTCAAAGCTGGAAGCTTTTGCAATGTGTAAGGGCAGAGGAAAGACAGACACAACCGAGCCGTCACTACGAAAAGAGCTCAGAGGAACCCATTAGTTCAGTCCTCTGAAGGCATTGCAGCAGTGCCCTTTGTGGTGTCACAAGTGTGACAGAACCAAGAGCTGGTCAGGACTTTCTCACTTTTCCCCTTCTGTTAATTGTCTCTAAGGTGCCCAGGTGGCCGATGGCTTCTCCCTTAAGATGTAGCTCATGTTTGCAGAGCGGCCTCATCTCAGATGCTCCCCCAGGGACGCCTGCAGCCTGGCTACCGCCTGGTTGGCCTGGGCAGGAACAGACAAATAGCCCTGGCTAGCACTGGGGAACTGTTGGGCTGTTGCAGGTTCAGGGACAAGAAGCATCTTTGTGTTTATGTCACTAGGTAAATGCAGGGCACCAATCATTCCTCTGTTGCTGGTCTTTGAAACAGGGCCTCATGTAGTCTAGATCGGCCTCAAACCCTATTTACTTGACTTTGGCCTTGAACTCCTGATTGCCTGCCCAGATTGCTGGGATTTCAGGCGTGTGCTGCCATGCTCTGCTTCTGGTTTTTAAGCACTGTACTTTCACAGTTGGTCTCCCGGCATCTGCTCCCACGGGATTGTGCTATGGAAGAGGTGTTTGTACCGTGTATTGTTTGGTTGTTCACTGGCTTTGTTTGGCACACATGTCACAGTGGCGAGCACCCTGCTTCAAGAGCTCAGAGAACTCAGCTGTAAGTCCCCATCATTTCTGACTCTTGGTATTTTCTGGGCTATGAAACCTGCATTCTCTTGAGTCCCTTAGTTGCTTTGGTTGTGGAGTGGAGCAGGAGAGCTAGTGCATTGCTGGCTGTCCTTGCTGGTGGCTGTGTTGTTCCGATAGCTAACTGCTTGGAAAGGCCTCTGAAAAGTGCATGCTTAACGCTCATCCACTAGCTGTGTGCCGGGGCTACAGGCCCTGTACAGACACAGTACAGGACTGGGCAGAGTGCTTATGAGTTGTTTTTCCCGAGAAGCTTCCTCTCTCACTGGGAGCTCTGAAGTAATTCTAATTTGACCTGGGAGCTGGAGGGATGGTTCAGTAGTTCAGAGCATGTGCTGATCTTCTGGGGGGCCCAGGTTCAGTTCCAGCACTGATACGGCAGCTCAGCACCCTCTGAGACTCTAGTTCCACGAGATTCAAAGCCCACTTCTGACCTCCTTGGGCACCAGATATATACATGTGCACCTGTGTGGTGCACATACATACATACATACATGGCCAAACACTCATATACATACATACATACATACATACATACATACATACATACATACATACATACATACATACATACATACATACATACATACATACATACATACATACATACATACATACATACATACATACATACATACATACATACATACATACATACATACATACATACATACATACATACATACATACATACAGGCCAAACACTCATATACATACATACACATACATACATACATACATACATACACACATACATACATACATACAGGCCAAACACTCATATACATGGAATAAAAATAAATCAGTCTGACACTTAAGAAAACGGGTATATGGATCGCCATCTGAGGGTCAAATCACGGAGCAGCTGCTTTCCTGGGGTGCTGTTTGCTCCATGTGAACATTTGTTTCTAATGAGTTAGTTTCACATGAAAACTGAAGTGGGAGGGGCTGGAGAGTCGGCCCTGTGGTTAAGAGCACTTGTTTACTATTGCAGAGGACCCAGTGTTTGTTTCTTAGCAATCACATGGTGATCCACAGCCATCTGTGACTGTCGTCCCAGGGGCTCTGCTATGATCTTCTGAGCTCCACGAGTACCAAGCACACATATGGTGGCCATACCTACATGTAGGCAAAACACACAAAATCAGCGGGATAAATCTAATGTGAAAGTTAAAAGCAAAATAAAAGTGGGCAGAGGTGCTTATAGCCAAGCCAGACAGCCTGAGTTTGGTCCCCAGAACCCCCGTGGTGAGGGAGAGAACAGACGCTTGCAAGTTGTCCTCTGAACTATATACCGTGGCATGCAAGCATTCCCCCATAGCACATGGAATAAATAATTAATGGTTCTCAGTTTGCTTTGGACTGGGCCCAGTGTCTGAGCCTTCCTTTCTGTGTCACATTCCTTGACACAGTTCTGTTTGGTCCAGTTCGGGCATGAGTGACAGCCATCTGTGTCTTTACCCCTGGCGCCCCTCCTACATTCAGCCCTAGGCCACTTAGGGCAGCTGGGTGAGATGTACACTTCAGAACTGTACCTAACCACACCTTAGTTTCTGTCCTCTGAGTCATCACTAGTCCCCCATTAAGTAGGGTCATCCCTAGTTTGGTGGAAGGCCTCTCGAATCAATAGCATTGAAATATGACATGTGCTAGTTACAGACTCTAGCATATATTTAAAATGTTTGACTTTTATATACATTCTGCAATTATTAAAATTGCATGAAGGCAAAAGCACTTCTGCATATGTATGTGTATATAATGTAAAATGAAATTTTCATTTTAAGGCTATTTTCGTAATAATATGTGGTCAGTCACAATACATTCTGGCTGACGCTCATGGAGGAATTGGAGATTGCTTCTCTGTTTGGTTGTTGGGGAAGATTATGCGTTGATCTTGTGCACGCTGGACATTGTAGGTGTTTTGTTTTGGTACTTATTAGTCTTGGAAGGTGGGGCTTGTCTCACCTGTACAAATTAGCTAACTGTACGGAAGACAGGGTCCTGTGTTCTGGGAACTGCTGTGTTTATGATCAATGGTGCAGCCACTGCAAGCTGAACTGCTCAGTGTGATTGTGAGGTTTCAAAACATTTATTTTCCCTGTGACTAATTTCTCTTTTGTATTCTTTCCCCTCATTCTATGCTGTAAGAGAGACAGAACGTTCTAGAGTTGTAAAGTCTGCGTGAGTCTCCAAATGAGTTGACTCTTGTTTACAGAGTATATTCTGGTGACAGCACACATTCCACAGTTCAGACTTTCTATTGTGTTTTTATATAATTTTTATTCATTTTTTTGTTGTTGTTTTGGTACAGCCCAGGCTGACCTTGAGCTGGTTATGGAATGCAGGACGACTGTGGTGAGAAAGTTGGTTTTTTTTTTTTTTTTAAAAAACAAAAGATACATTCATACATACACACAGATGCACACAGAGATACATACACACACACAAACACACACACACACCACTGGAGAAACTTGGAAAAGTTGGAAGTTGGACACACACACACACACACACACACACACACACACAGAGGTACACACACACACACACACACACACACACAGGTACACACACAGGTACACACAGGAACACACACACAGGTACACACACACACACACACACACACACACACAGGTACACAACAGTTTTTTTGTTTTTGTTTTTTATAAATCTTCATGTTCAATAGAGGGCACCACAGCATAGATTATGAATATCTTTCAATGAATATTTATAGGTTCAAATTATTTCTCTTGTGGTAAGTAAAGAGGCTGAGTTACTTTTTTTTTTCTCCCAACATCAAACCCATACACTACAGATGTGTGTAGGGAGCATCATGTTGAGTTCAGAATATCCAGGCCATCTGTAGAATTAAATGATTTTTGTGTACCATATTATTCTTCAACTGAACCACTGTGTAAAATGCTTAGTAAAATCACATTAAGGAAAACCAGACTTTACTGTGTCCAATGAAGGGGAAAAGCAGGCCTTGCTTTATTTAGCATTGTTAGGGGTGGAGAAGCAACTTTTGACTTCCATTGTAAATATATTTTCAGAAATTCCCTTAAAATTCTGTAGGCTGCTTTGTGAAACTCCCACTATAATTGCTTGAAAATAATATACATTTGTTTTATTTATTTTTTGGGGGAGGGTGGTGGTCTCAATGTGTAGGCTTGGTTGTCCTGTAGATCAGGCTGGCCTTGAACTCACAGAACTCTGCCTGCCTCTGCCTCCTCCATGCTGAGATTAAAAGTGTGTGCCATCACAACGACTCAGATAGTAAAACTGTCACTCAGAAGAGGCTCTTGTGACCTCACATCCTCCCAAAGTTTACATCTTTTAAATTAAAAAAATATTTTAAATTTATTATTACTTGAGATGGTTTCACAATACTGCTCTGGCTAGCCTGGAACTCTTGATTCTCCTGCTTCAGCCTCCTAATCCTAAACTCTGGGATTATAGGTGAGTACCACCCTCCCAACTCTAAGATTTGCATTTTAAATTTTACAGTGGAAACTACCTGACCACAAAATGAAAACATGAATACATACATTTTTGTAGATTTTTGTTTGTTTCAGATCCATACCTGTATGGTCCCGGTGGCCTAAACTTAGCCATCAAGACACAAAAATTAAAAAATCAAATCAAACTTAGCAGGTGCCCCGGGAGTGTGAATATTCATGGGTGTGTCTGTGTCAGGTCTCACTTTGATCCCCTCTTCCTATTGACCCAGCTTATCTGTTCTCTCGCTTTTACCCTCGTGTCCTCCAGGTGGCAGTATGCAGCAGAAAAACTGGGAACTAAGGAGACTAATGCACAGTCAAATTGGAAATTGAATTATAGCAGAAGAAAAGGGACAGTAGCCTTGAGGTCTCCATCAGCCTGTACTCTGATCACTTTTGTTTGCAGTACCCATGTGTTAGGTACCCAGCAAGTTAATAACTGCACGTGAGCAGTTCAAGGCTCAGTAGAATTGCTTTAGACATGAAATAAAGCTAAAATGAATTTGTGTCCGATATCGTTGCCATTAGTGCACATTACTTCTGTGCTGTAATGCCTCAAACCATCTAAAATCAATTTTAAAGATCACCCATTATTTTATAGAGAAAATAAAACACATTTCCAACAGAAACAAAGCCGTGTGTACAATCCTATGAACAGCCACTTGTCCTGTGGCTGGTGGGAAGCTACCAACAGGAGGCCACAGGAAACGTGAGACTCAGACTTCACAGTGGGTCCAAGTTCGTATCAGGGGCTTGTTTCCATAAAACTCTTTCCTAATCTGAATTACTTAGGACATGAATGGGAAGCGTTGGTAAACGAGGAAGATAGATTTTAGTGCAGTCAAAGGCTTTTACTGCTTGACAAATGAACCTTTGTCGTTTGATATGGCCATATTCAGGGGGGACCAGTGTAGAGGACACGCAGAGTTGAGCACTTAGACTCTTTGCTTGAGATTTTTCTCTTTGAGAAGCACAATAGTCTTGCTTTTGCTTTTAGTAAAGAGGTCCCCCCCCCCCACCACGGCCAGTTACATTTATAAGTCTGTTAAGGCAAAGGGGATGACTGGATTCACGCATTTGTAGACATTTGCCTTCTACAAGAAATAATTTTGTTATCTGGGAGCAAAGGATGTGGTATTGTGATGCCTTTGGTATTTAACAAAATTGGTATTAATGGCCAAAAAAGAATTATCTGTCTAATTACTTGTTTAAAAATACAAGATATAAAGCAAAGTTCATTTCATTTGAAATATATGATCTAGTTTTCATAGTCTCCATATGAGAAAATCCCATGTTAGGCAAAATGACTCATGGGTTGTAGTGTCTACCTTTAATTCTTATGTCCTGGTCCTAGCATCTCCTGTGACACCACCACTGAACAATTAATAGAGACTCAAAAATATTTGCTAAAAAACTAGTTTTTATTTAAGTGTGAGGAGATACTGCCTTGGTTTCTTATTCTGTGATACTCCAGAAAAGCACATGCTAGGCTGGGAGTATGAATGTGACCAAGCTATATTCTTGCTGCAGGGCCAGTTTTTAACCCTCTGTCTGGTTCTGATGCTTCAGTTTTGTGTTGTCTTTGTAATAAGTTTCAGTCTGTCCTGTTAGACAACCAGTGTGTACTCAGCACCAGATTATCCTACTTGGGAAAGAGGCTTGGAATCAAAATTACTTGGTTGCTTATTTTGACAAGAGATACACTGCTGCTGAAGATTCTGCAGAAGTTTCTAGTTGACTTTAGGTATTAGAAAAGCCACCTCAAAGGAGCCCTTGCAAACGTGTACTTGTGTACATAGTACACTAATAAAGTTTTCAACTGTAGATTGTGCTGGGGAGTATATTGGATTTTCATATAATTTTAATGGTAGTTGAAAGTTTTGATGTTTCATGAGAGCTTATCCAAAGACTGTGGCACTGACATGCTGCTGGCCATACATTTTTAAAAGCAGACTAAATTTCTATAACCATATAAGCAAAATATTTCCATAATTAATCCACATGGTCTTAACAGATGGTTAAATTGAAGAATTGTCCTTGAAGTTATTCTTTTAACAGATGTCCTCAACCATTAGCTTCATGTTTTTACTCACCTAAGATTCCAAATAATTGAGCAAAAGTTAGCATATGTTTTCATCCCGTTGGTGGGCAGAGCCCAGCATCGGGGCAAAGTTCTCAGAGCAGAGAGATCAGTGGCACAGGCATAAGTAAGGACTTGCTGTCTTCCACCTGATCTCTGCCCATGCCTGCTCATCAATTATTTTTGTTCCTCTTTTTCTACAGAGTCCTGCAGAATGCACTTTTGCTTTCCGACAGCAGCCTCCACCTCTTCCTGCAGAGCCATCTCAACTCCGAGGACATTGAAGCATGCGTTTCTGGGCAGACCAAGTACTCGGTGGAAGAGGCAATTCACAAGTTTGCCTTGATGAATAGACGGTTCCCCGAAGAAGATGAAGGGAAAAAAGACAACGATGTAGATTATGATTCAGAGAGGTATTTTTTTGCACTTTGATTTAACAGACATATTTATATAACACATAGTGTCCATGTGCATGCACGTAGATATATACACATTTTGCTTTTTGTTGATGTAATACTAAGATAATGAAAAAATTAATTGACTGAGATTTTATTGAGCTGTGACAGCTCATCACAGTGGTCTTCACACACACCTCCACACTGAATTAATGAATGCAGCAGAAATTCAATTATCTGCATTCTGATTATGTGACTTTCATTTAGTCAGACTTGAATTATTCGCGTTTAAATTATCTAGCTAAAAAAATATCCAACTGCACTCCAAATGGCTAATTAAAAGTCCAAATTTCCTGTCTCTCTTTGTGACTGGAGATAATTAAAGTTCTCCTCTGTTACTCAGGCTTTGAGTGTGTTGTGAAAACCAATTTCCTCTTTTTATTATTTTCCCCTCTCTTCTTTTCCAGTTCATCCTCTGGGCTTGGACACAGTAGTGATGACAGCAGCTCACATGGATGTAAAGCAAGCCCGGCTCTTCAGGAGTCCTGAGAAGGAGTCCTAGGGCCACTACCTTAGGCACAGAATTGCGCCCAGCCAGAGAGAACGCTTGCTCACGACAGATCCTTATCTAATGCCACTGTCAATATCTTAGGTAGTTAAATACTTAACAGTGGTGGGTTCTTAGTGGTAGCATTTTTATGTTGTCTAATTTTAGCCAGGCTTCTGTATAAAGCCGTAAGGTCTGTGAATGCCATACAACCCTTTATTGCCATATAATACTTGTAAATACAATCCTGTTCTCAAGTGTGGTGAGTTAGATGCTGTATATATAAAAATGAAATCCAGTTGGTCTTAACTGAATTTTAAAGAACTGGGTGTATCAGCAGCATTTCAAGCCCAGACAGAACATCCCTGCAGCGTCAGGGGAAGTTACAGTAAACAGTGTGACTGGAGCCAGGGTACAGAGTCACGGTACATCACACTGCCTCTTTGACACGTGGCTCTTGTTTTGTGGAGACTTCCCCTACTCTGGAAAATGCTTTGCTTTTGGGTGTTTGGTTGACATATTTAAGAGTATTTAAGCTTTCCAGTATACTATTTCACATGTAAATGGAAAAATATGTCTTACAAATAAAGATGTATTAAAATACTGTTTACATCTTAGAGGGAAAAAAATAGAAGATACGTTCATAATTTTGCTTAAATTTGCCATCCGTAGATTTAGAGATACATTCTCACTGTCCAAAAATGAGCTTAAACATGGCTTTTGGCAACAAGTCGTTTTACCATTGTGTAGTTAGAATCATAGCTTATAGTTTATTTTCTGATATTTAAAAAAAATGTGCATTAAAAAAATCACCTGCAGTGGTGGCTCCTCACAACTTACTTTAAAGTTAGAAGAAGGTATTTATAAGATTTACGTTAGTTTTACCCATAAATATTTCAATAATTTTGGAGTGGAAGTCAGGTTGCTAATGTCAGAGCTCATATTGTTTTAGAAGCCCTTTTTTTAAGGTGTCTACCTGAAGATTGGCTTAATTTGAATAAAATAGCCCCCCCCCTTGTGGCCTGAAGATGAGATGTCTTGGGTCCACTCTGAGCTTCCAGTTTCAGATGGGGCAGCATTTTCCTGGGATAATTAGCCAAGTCCTCCCTGCTAAGGATGCACAGCCATCTTCAGAAGGTATTTTCACCAAGTGGGATAACTTGTTGCTTTCAGTGAATGGCTCCCACTCTCATTGGGGGAAAAGCTGCTGCAAAAAGCAGCCATTTACTTGGGTGTTTAGTAGTTATTGATTAATAAAAAGTTTTGACTTGTCCTTTGTAGTGCTTGTTTCAAAGAATTGGTGAAAAAGAAACAGAAACATTAAATTTAGAATATTTTAATTTCTCCTTTTAAAAAAATACTGTCTGAAACATCTGTAAATGTTTTGATTTAGATCTTGTTCTCTAATATGAACTTACTGCCGGAAGAAAAGGATTTGGCAGCTGCTTATCTTGCTGCATGGAAAGTTTTAGTGCAGTGTCCTCTCAGTAGTAGACATGAATTCACAACATTTATGTTTTATAGCATTTTTGAAAAGCATATATTGTGCCACCAGTTATCAAACTACTTCTTAATGAGATAATCATGTAACCATTGAAGTTAATATATTGATGCTTACTATTTGCTCTGTAAACTTCATGAGGATATTGTTTTCACATTAAACATGAAAAAAACCCAACGTTGTTGGAGCACTTATTTTACATAAGAGAATACATTTCTTCTGACTCAGACTAAACTAAGTATTTTTTAAGTTACTGATAATTTTTTTACTAAAGAACTTTACTAAGACTTGCTTGACATTTGCTGCAGTTGCTTTTTAGCTGTTGTGACATCTAAGCACTTGCTTTTTCAAACTGGCTTTTGGGGGCCTCGATATTTAGAAGAACTTCAGTTTCCAGTGGGTCACTTGCTTTGTTTTTTACTTTTATGTATGGAGGAGAGCAAAGTAGCCACACATGTAACTAAATAGACAACGGACATTTAGTCCTATTTTTTTTAATGTGAATTACGATTTAGGGTTCTAATTCTGGATGCCTTATGATTTACATTTAGCAAAACTCTGTTTTCCTGGCTAATTCTGCAAGGTAGATCTCATACCTGGAAGGTCATAGTCCTATGTATTTGTTTTAAAGCTGACTTTAGAGGTAGCTAAAGGTGTCAACAATGAAAATCAACAACCTGGTACTTAAGACTTAAAGTCTCACTTGCTAAAAAGTGATTTTAATTCTAGTTAAAATTTTCAGTTTTTTTAAAAAAAGACACTAGGGGGAAATCACAGATGTTTGTCTTAATCACTTGTCATTCCTTAAGATACTAAATACATATTGCCAGCACTGTTAAAGTCTACTTCAAATGTTATTTAACAATTAAATAGAAACAAGTTATAGGTAACATATAGAAGTCAAAGCACAGAATGTCTTGTATGATATTAAGAATTTTAACAAATTTATTTAGCTTAGCCATGTGATATCCAATAGTGGTAGCTGGATGTTGTTTTGAACTCAGCTTCATTTTGGTGCTTTATCATCGAGTTAAGTGTGTACAATAAGGTTTTAAGGATTGTGCCTTTTTCATGAAAGGCCTCTTTTTTTTTTGGTGCAAAAATTAATAAGGTTATTCTGTTTCTAAATCGTCTTCCTCTTAATATTTAAATTAGTTAGCTGGTACCTTATAAATACAGTGCAGCATCTTTTTCACAGAGGAAACATTTAATTTCAAAACAGTTTTGTTAAGGAAGAAAATTGTTTCTTAATTTGCTATGGACACATGTCCAAATATAAAATGTCTGAACTTAGTTGTGGCAACTTGACATTCATTAAAGGTGTAGATGCAGTTTTTGCAAGTCAATGCAGGAGACGCAGACATTTTAATAGAATGGAGCAAAAAAATAAAAAAGCAGTATGTAACGAAACAATAACTTCGGATTTTGATGTATTTACAAAGGATTTGGGGCTTTGTTCTTGGCCATATGCACCACGTCACCATTGTCCTCTTAAGTCAAACACAATTGCTCTTTCTTCTTGCAGGAAACTTCTAGGTCCTTATTAAGAACAGTGCATCGGACACTAATGTATTTTAGCAGCACAAACTCTGGTAGTTCATGACCCTTTTTCTTCAAAAGACTTCTTTTAAGAAGATAAGAGCAGAAAAGAGGGAGAGAAGAAAACTAAGCTGCAAAAATTTCTGCAGAATCCACAATGCTTTAAGCTAAAGAGAAGGGTAGATGCTGCCGAAGCCGGCAGGCTCTGCGTGGCATAACGCGTGTATTTGCGGCTCTTACCTGGGCCTTCTTTATAGCTCAGCCCCCACCCCCGTGGGCCTCGGCTCAGCAGCCCGCACGCTCCCGCCATCCCACGCACGCTCCCGCTTCCTCGGTCCGGTAACCCATGGCAACCGCCCTGGTAACCCATAGCAACTGCTCTGCCGAACCAGGTGGGGCGGTGGAGCCATTTGGAGTGGGCGGGTGGAGAGCGATTTACCACGGCCCACCTGCCTCGGGCACCGCCAGCGTCCCGCACCGGACAGTGAGGACCGAACAAAGCCTCCGCGCA